TCACCTCCACGACGACGGCGACGACGGCCAGCTACTTGCCGGGGCCGCCCTCGCGGACGCTGTCAATCAGCCTGGGCCCATCCATCATCATGAGCGCGAACGAATCATTTATTGATGAACCGCCCCCTCCCCTACCCTCCCACACCGCGCCGTCCCGCACCCGCATCGCCGGGTAGCCCTTCCTTTTCGTCCTGCGCTCTTCCGCACCTTTTCGTGCTCTGTCACCACGCGGCGCGCTGCAGTGCTGCACCCACGCGTGCCAGATCAATGAAGATCAATTGATCGACAGGCCCGGCCGTTCCATCAACGGACAGACAGACAGACAGACAGACAGACAGACAGACAGACAGACAGACAGACAGACAGACAGACAGACAGACAGACAGACAGACGGCGTTTTAAAAGCCCGGCGCCGCAGCAAGGCAGCGAGGGTGGTTTGGTTTATGACTGCGACTAGACGGCAATCGGTCCAGAGACGATGCTGCCGCGCGGTGCCGCGCGGTGCCGCCGAAGCGGATGGGAGGAGTGAAGGGAAATCAGTTAGTTTCGTGTCGAGGAGAGGGACGTCACTTCCGACGCCGATGTCTGTCTGTCTGTCTGTCTGTCTGTCTGTCTGTCTGTCTGTCTGTCTGTCTGTCTGTCTGGGCGCAGCGGCCGAACAACGCAATGGCATGGGTGATCGTCAGGACACCTCCAGGCCCGATGCCCCCCCCCCCCCACAGGGCCCCTCGCCTGCTTCGCCTCGCTGTAGGGCTCCCTTCCGTCGACTTGGAGTGATTCCAGACGCCCATGGGTGTGGCGGCGTGGCTGGCGGGGCACTTGAAGGGCCAAGGGCGCCGAGGCACGCCGAGGGCCGCGATGGTGCGCTGTCTATGGGGATTGTCATACCAGGCCACACACACAACCGGCCCGCACCAAAAACAACAACGAATTGGCCTGGTGTTTTCGAATATCGACCGACGGACAGGCCGGCAGACAAACAGACAGTCCCTGGCGCTGCTGGCCAGTGGACTCATTCCGAGAGTCGTTTTCGTCGCTCTGTCTCTCTCGCACTCATGGAGCGTCTCGTTTAAGTGCGAGAGAGACAGAGCGACGAAAACGACCCTCAGTCCGCCGCCCAAGGGCCAGCCGGCCTGAGCCGGAAGCTGTAATATCCGATATCGATGACCGGCACTGCTTCCTTCTGTTTATCTTGGTGGAGGTGCGCGGTGTGCGCCATGCGGGGAGTGGTCACGTCACTGGTAATCGGAGGCCGCGGAGGACAAGAAGAAGAAGGAGGAGGAGGAGAAGAGGAGCCACGAAAACACGCGCGCGCCGCGCTGGCCGCGCTCCAGGCATCCACCCCTCTCGTCTGGACGGGTCTGGACCACCCCCGCGCGACCGCAGTGTACGCAGTGTACGCACACCCCTACCGCTCCCTCTCTCTCGCACCACCCTTTCCTTTCAACCCCTCTCAATCACGGATCGGACGGCGACCGGGGCGCCACCTATCGCCCAATCAGGCAACCATCTCAATATCTGTCTGCCTGGCAGGCCCGCGGCGTTGCCGGGCCGCGCGTTGCCGCCTTCCTTCCAGTGCTGTAGTACTCCAGCCTCCAGCAGCACGTCGACGCCGTCGCCGCGGACCGCACAGTGGGCCAGAGGACCGGTGGAGGCGGCCAAAACTCTAGACGCGTTTTGAGCTCCAGAGTCGCTAAGCAGGACTCGAACCAAACGTGTGACCCCACCACTGGATTCCTCGTTCGGAGAGCAATCCATTGGTCGGGTCACACGTTCGGTTTGACAACCAGTTAGCGACACTGGAGCTCAAAACGCGTCTAGACTTCCGGCCGCCTCCACCGGTCTTCTGGCCCACTGTGGACCGCCGCATTTGCATCGGCCTGGCGGAGCTGGCGGTGCTGGCGCCGCCACTGCAAGGGCACCCTGGCGTCACTGTCGGCCTCGATGCCGTCGACGGGGATCGCCTTTGTCGGCACAATAAATAGCAGTAAAGCGATAGACCGAAAAAAGAAAAGGGCCCACCGCGCGCCGCCGCGCCGCCCGCTCCCTGCTGCCTTGTTTCCGGGGGACGGACGGATAGATGGATGGGTAGATGGATGTCGGTCTCCGTTTGTGTTCGACGACAAACAACTTGTCAATAACACGTTTAATAATATTCCCCGCTGCTCACTACACCCCGACTGCAGTGCCTGCAGCAGTAGCGCTGTCTCTCTCGCTCTCGCGGGCAGCGTCACTGGCGCATAGGGGTGCGAGAGAGACGGAGCGAGGAGCCGCCACACGCCGCGCCGCGCGCTGCATATTGCACCTGTCAGCGCGATGTGCAATCGACGAGCAGCGGCGGGACGGCCGGAAAAAAAAGGGGAGCGAAAAGTTTGAAAAAAAAAAAGAAAGTAAAACGCGAGGCATTTGCTTTGCGGCACAAAGGACGCGTCAATAAATACGGGAGGGGAGCGCTTGGCTGTCAATCACGCGCCGAATTATTGCGTCCGATTCGCTGTCTCTCTCGCACCTATACCACGGAGCGCCCCGCGAGTGGGAGAGAGACGAAGGCAGTGCAGAAGGCAGTGCAGTGCCGCGGCAATGCGCGACAATCATAAACCACTTGCACCGCCGCTGGAAAATCGCACGGCCCGGAAAAAAAAGGAGGGCAAAGTGAATGAAGCGCCGGCCGGCCTGGACGGCCACTGTGGCCCCGTCGGCACCACAAAGGGGAGGGGCGTTTACAGCCACCGATTCGCGCCCTATCTGGCGGGCCCATCCGAACCGATCGCCTCCCGCACCGCACCGCCCCGCCCCGCCCCTCGCCGGACGGATTCTTTTTATTTTTTCCCGATTTTGTCGAACAATATCCACCTGTTGAGCGCTGGCTCCCCCTCCGCATGCGGGGCGGGGGCGGGCCGAGAGGGGACAGGCCTGCCAGTGTGTACACAAGGCGTGCCGTCGGTGCCGGGGGGAGGGGGGGAGGGGGAGGGGGGAGGGGAGAGGGTGGGAAAAAGTGCGATGCGCCCCGCGTGGCGGGTTGCAGTGCGGGCGTTGCATTTGTTGTTGTTGTTGCCGCCTTCAAACGCACTCGGAGCTTCCCGCGGCGTAATGAGGCCCCAAGGCCGCGCGCCGGAAGTGGCCGTGGCAGTGCAGGGCAGTGCAGCGGCGGGGCGGCAGCTGCGGGGAGCGGCAGGGCAGCAGACAGGGGCGTCAGCACGAGGAATCGTCCGAGCCGGTCGGGCGGCGCGCGGACAGGACGGACACACGTCGTCACACAGACCCACATTCGCTCCCTGGAACGCTGCTGGAGCAGCACGCCGATCGAGCAAGCCAAGCAGGCCGAACGGCGGCCGACGGCGGCCCGGGCCGGACCGGACGGACACTCGGCCTGGCTGCAGCGGCGACACGTGACACCTGCACTGGTGGCACCGCCACCGTGACGCACTGCAGGGCCTCCGTTCGAGGTGCCCGACGTCGCCCCCCGAAAACTGGCGCACTTCCTGGTCGCCGCCGTGCCGCTGGCCCACTTCGGTTCCGAGACGAGATAAGCCCGCCGGCCCCCGGCAGCCCCATCAGGCCCCGCGCGTGGACCGTGGACCGCGGCGTGGCGGCCCAGCCCGACGCGTCAGCGTTCCGCGTAGGATCGCGCCGTCAGTAGAACGAGTCCGCGAGTCGCTGCCGTCGCTCTGTCTCTCTCGCGCCTACACTGGACGCCCTATGAGTGCGAGAGAGACAGAGCGACGAAAACGACTCTCGGAATCAGTCTGCAGCACGCGTACTTCACCAAGGGCAGCGCGTCCTCTTCAAGGCTGTGGGACGCACAACGGAGTGCAACGCTACACCGCGCGGGGCGGGCTGCGGCGGGGCGGGGCGGCCGGCATCAGCTTCCATCCGAGCGGCTCCTGATCGAACCCCGAGCACGCCGTCAAGGCCGCGGGGGCCGCGCCGCCACCGGAAGCCGAAGCGGCGAGGCCTGGCGCAGCCCCGGCAGACTAAACTACAGGGCGATAACCAGGGCGCTACAAAAATCCGATTGGAAGGAGAGCCGCCGGCACCGCCACAGCAGCGCAGCCAGCCAGATTAGCGCAATCACTGCTCAAACATCCTGAGCTCGCTTCTTGCGTCTCGCTGCGCCGTGCGGTGCGCCGCCACACTGCTACAGCCGTCTGATAAGGACGCCAAGGCGACTCCCATTGGACGCACGGCCGCCTATCAGGTGGACGCGAACGAGTGTAGTGCTTCTCCACTGTCAGCGCCTCTCCGCCCCCGCCGCGCGGCCACTCTCTAGCCCCGCGGACAACTACGCGGACACAGAGAGAGGCCCTGGGAACCCGATAGCCGCGACAAGTCGATCCGCCCCGCGACCCTACCCTCTCGCCATCTCTCTCTCTCTCTCTCTCTCTCTCTCTCTCTCTCTCTCTCTCTCTCTCTCTCTCTCTCTCTCTCTCTCTCTCTCTGTCTCGCTCGCCGAGTCGAGAGGAGTGGAGTTTGGAAGCACATGAGTTGTAGCGACGCCACGCCCGGCGACGCCTCCCTCCGGACTTGCGCCTTTCCCTCCACGGCCGCGGGGTATTAGCATCAGGACCCCGCCCCGCCCCGCCCCGCCCGCCCCGCCCCGCCCCGCCCCGCCCCGCCCCCCCCGCGCCAACCCCCGCCCAGTTCTGATTATCGGTAATCCCTGGGTCGGCTGTCATCCCATTCTCTGTCATCCTCGGTGCCTTCGCCGTCGCGACGCCCTGGCGACGCCCTGGTGGAAAGTTCCGGCGCCCGGGCGGTACAAGCAGCGCCGAAACGAAAGCGCACTGCGAAATCTGCCAACGCGACGTGCGGGCCGGACGGGCGGACTCGAACTACACTGTACTCACCTCATGTTCCTTGGACGCCAGCTCGGCCTCGAGGGCCGCCCTGGTGGCGGCCTCGGCGGGGTGCTGCGCCTGCTGCTGGGGCTCGGGCATGGTGAGCGCGGCCACGGGTCCGTGCGCCCCGCCGCCGCCACCGCCGCCGCCACCGCCGCCGACCGCGTCCAGGCCCTGCTTGCAGCTCAGGCCCGCCTCCTGCTCTGCGAGCGTCGCCCGCTGCAACACACGAGAGAGAGAGCCACACTTGAGACAAAGGTCGCCGGTTCGAAAGCCCGCTGCTTGGGCGTTTTCGCGTTCGCTATCGACGCGGTTCAGCAGCAGCCGGTCAAAGAGATGGTCGCCAATGCGACATTCCACGCGCGGCCCCGCCCCGCCCCGCCGCGTTCCGAGAAGCTGCCGCCGCCGCCTCTGATATCTGGCTGATGAGTCGGCGGGGCGCAGCACAGCTAGGCACTGCGGAACGAGCGAGACGAGACGAGGCCAAACAAAGCAGATCAGCCGGCGTCCTTTCTCGTCGCCAAGGCGTGCACAATTAATTTCAAATAAGACGAGAACAATCGGCGAGCGCCGGGCGATAGAAAGAAAAGAAGACAAAAAAAGATCGCTCACTGTTTACGAAAAAAAAATATGCGGGGGCGGAACTGGGGGAAAATAAGGGGAAAAAATTGCCAAGGAATCGGATTGTTTTCTCCCGCAGCAGCGGCGCAATGCTGTTCCTAGGCCTGGTGACACGAAGCGCGCGAGGGAGACAGAGAGAGGGAGAGAGAGAGAGGCAAAGAGAAAATTAGGGTCGTCTAGACTTTGCAGAGATTCGAACAGACTCGACTTTTCCTCGAAGTCGCCCGTCGCCGCGCCCGGCAAACCAGGGAAAGGATGATATTACGACGGCAACAAGCGGCACGGCGCGGCACGGCGCGGCACGGCACGGCACGGCACGGCCAGTTCAAGTGGCCGTATAATACTCTTTGGGCCCCCAAATGGCGCGCAAACTTCGCAGATTGAAAAACAAAAGAATGTGCGCTCAAGAAAAGCAAGGCGGACGACCAGGCTATTTATAATCGAATTGGTGCCCAGTGTAGCAGTGCAGCGGGCGGCCGGATCCGCGAGGCGCTTCTCCGGACAGAAGAATCAACTTTGAGAATTATTTTGATAATTCGGCGCGCCGAGGCGGCGGGGCCGTGGGGGCGGACAGTGGGGGGGACACTCTTCGACTGGGGACAGGACAGATGTTGATTTGGAGCCAACAAAGCCGTACAAGCAGATAAATTAGAATCAGAGGAAATAAGTAAGAGGGAGTCGAAAAAACGGGAGTGGCCGTCAGTGCCAGACACGCTGCAGGGACGCGTCGCGGACGTCCAAAAGGCCCGTCTAATGATAAAGAAACACGGAGGGAACTCACGAAGCGAGGAATCTGTCTCCGTTTTGTCCTTGGCAGTGTGCGCGCTGCGCGGCCCGCGGGGTGGCTGGCGTTACTGCCCTGCAGCCCGATCGCCCCGAGAGGGCACTCTTTGGCCTGTAGACTGATTCCGAGAGTCGTCGCTCTGTCTCTCTCGCACCTGCACGGGACGCGCCATGAGTGCGAGAGAGACAGAGCGGCGACTCTCGGAATCAGTCCGCCGCGCCTCTCAGTATTCCCGGCATTCCGGCCGATCCGATGCCGAGTCCTGCATTGACAGCGATCGCGCGCGCGCCGCATCGCCAATCACCATTCGCGAAGGAGAAGTAACAACAATCATTTCAGTGCCGTCGAGGGGTTGGCTGTCTCTCTGTCTCTGTCTCTCTCCCACTCACGGGGCGGCCCGCCGCACAGTGGGCCAGAAGGCCGGTGGAGCGGCCAAAATTCTAGACGCGTTTTGAGCTCCAGAGTCGCTAAATGGGCCTCAAATCGAACGTGTGACCCCGCCAATGGATAGCTCTCCGAACGAGGAATCCATTGGTGGGGTCACACGCTCGGTTGGTGTCCCATTTAGCGACCCTGGAGCTCAAAACGCGTCAAGAATTTTGGCCGCTCCACCGGTCTCCTGGCCCACTGTGCGCCGGGGTGCGAGAGAGACAGACCCTTGGGAGTGGCTGGGAGGCCAACAAGGCCGCGTGCGTGTCACTGGCGACGCCACGACGACGAACAAACGCCCGAAATAACGTGGCGGCGTCTTTCAAGCTCGCAGTGGCGCGGCTCGCAGTGGCGCGGCACCGCGGCAGAAGGCGGAATCAGTGACGCGGCGGACAGGTGACGCTCTGTCACGCGCCGCTGCTGCGAGCGCCGCGACCGCCGCGCGCCGCCGCGGAGCGCGACGCACCGCGACGCACCGCGACGCGCATGCCTGCCTGGCCGCCAGTCAGCCGGGCAAGAGGGGCAAATTGCTGTCAAAATCGTCCATCATAGACCGACGGGCCGGGCCGGGCCGACCGGGCCGAGGCAACGACTTCACTTGCCAAGGAGGTTGAGGCGAGGAGGATACAGAGGCGGATCCAGGGCCGGCCCGAGGGGGGGGGGAAGTTCTACTTTTTGCCTACTTACAGTGTGGCTTTCTGCGTACCTTTGAGGCGGCTGTTTAGGGGCCAGGTCGCCGTCGTCGTTCGAGGGCATCGCGTGCGTCTGGAAGGTGTCGACGAGTCATGGGGGTAACGTAGCCACCGCTCACACGGCGCCGAACCTTCCGGGCCGCGACGACCAGCAGACTGATTCCGAGAGTCGTTTTCGCCGCTCTGTCTCCCTCGCACTCATGGGGCGTCCAGTGTAGGCGCGAGAGAGACAGAGCGACGAAAACGACTCCCGGAGACACAGGACGCCCCCGGCCGGGATGGCGCCCTATGAATGGGGACTAAACTACTGACAGTCGTGTGTCATTTCATCTGGAACGATCGCACGAACGCCACCCCCACCCCCAGATAAGCCAACTGACAAGGGGAGCAGTGTGTTCTGTCAGGAACCTCCCCGTCAACCTCTTGAAGCGCGGCCCGGCGTCGCCGCGTCGGCCTGGACCGAACGGAGAACGAACGCACCTGCCACTCCAGACCACAGCGCTGCAAGCCGCACACTAAAATGAGGGAGGCTATTTCCCGTCATTTTTCAGCGTCTGTTTTGTTTCAGGGCTGCCAGGTCTGGAGCGGCCGGGCCGAGGCTGGGCCAATAACCGCGGCCGGTCCATCGACGAGGTGAAGCAGTGCGTGGTCCTGGCGGCCGCACCCTCGTCAAGCCGCGGACGCCGTGGACGCCGTGCACGCCGTGCCGATGGCCGCGCCACCCTCGCCCTTCGGCCCATCCGCCCTTCTCCGCATTTCCGATCGAGCGCCACACGATTTCGGCCCCGGGCGGCCCGGCCCGGCCCGGCCCACCCGGCAGGCCCACCCGGCCGGCCGGCCAGGCGTCCGAGCCGCCCCGCTGCCCGCCCGGCCGGGGACACTGATGAAGCCTTGACTTGGCTGATAAGCAGATTTGCAATTACTTCTCCGACGGGATGCTGCACTGGAGGGGGAGGGGGTGGGCGACGTGGCCGATGACTGGCGCTGACGTCCGGCGAGACGGGGCGCCGGCCAGCCTATTTGCATTGAAAGGGCGTCGCCGTCGTCGCGGACTTGGCGCGCTGCTCGGCCGGGCTGCTTGGCCACCACGCCGAGCGACCGTCCACCGGCCGGGCGCCGAACAGTAGACTGATTCCGAGAGTCGTTTTCGTCGCTCTGTCTCTCGCGCCCCCAAACGGGGCACCCCGAGTGCGACAGAGACACAGCGACAAAAACGACTCAGTCTGCTGGACGAGAACGGCGTCCGGAAGCACGCCTTCCTCGCTTGACGAGCGCCGGCAACTGCAGCGACCCGGGCCCAGGCCTCGGCCCAGGCCGGCCGGGCCCCCAGGGGGTTGTCGGGAACGGTGTCACCGAGGGGCCGTGTCTCTGCTTTGCACGGTGCACGCAGCCTGCACGGCCTGCGCGCTGCACATGGCCGACGAGGTCATCAACAGCTCCAAATGAGGGGCCGCCGATGACGGCGTCGGGCCGGCGCCACCGCCCCGCCGCCTCGATGCAGGCCGTGCGGCTCGCCGTGCGGGCAAAGCGGGCTTCTAGCCGCACCCCCGCCCGGAGACATTACACTCATCACTCACGCGGAGTATTGATGGAAGGCCGTCAGGCTAACCCGAAATCAAGGAGGCACCGCCAGGGCACCGCCAGGGATATCACTGAGATATGTCCCTAATGTCCGTGAGCGGCTCGCCAGGGCTCGGCTCGGCACATCAGGAGGCGGGGGCATCAAACGAGGCGGCCCAGTGCAGGCAGACCCTGCAGCCTGATTCCGAGAGTCGCTCCCGTCGCTCTGTCTCTCTCGCACCTGAAGGGGGCACCCTGTGAGTGCGAGGGAGACAGAGCGACGACTGTCGGAATCAGTCTGCAGGGCAGGCACAGCCAGCCGGCGGTAATCAACACAGAAAAACAGTTGACGAATTCACTTGAGCCGCAGCCCCCCGTTCGACTCGGCGCATCCGGCCTCGCCTTGTCGCCGGCCTTAGTCTCTTCCGCCGCGCTCCCCGGCGACGCCGCGACGCCTCGATCCCCGATCCACCGCGAATTTTCCAGCACGGCGACGACGGCGACTTGGCGGTGGGGGCGCCGCGCCGCCATGCCTTCGGCCAGCCCGCCAGGGCGTCGCACGACGCCGAGATCGGCCGTCCGATCAGCCTTGGGCCCCGGGCCGGGCCGCCACCGGCGTCGCGCATCGCCGCAGCACTGCGGCAGCAGCCACGCCTCGGAACGGATAGATAAATCAAAATTAATTTCTTTCATTTCCGCCTAATTTCGCTTTGATGGTGCCCCGCAAATCCTAATCAATCCGAGATGGAAATGCGCACCCGGTTCCTCCCAGTGCCTTCCAAGTTTTTAATCAATCGCCGGCCGGACAGCCGGAGCTCGGCCCGCTTGTCGCCGGCAGCGCCTGCCAGCCAGCCGGCCGGCCGCTCAACCGGGCACTGCGAGATGCACTGGATGGACATGTTGGTGCATCGACGGAGGCGTGGCGCGAGGCCCGGCGCGAGACTAGCCCTCGGGGGGTGGGTGGGCGTGCACGGCCTGCACGGCGCAGCGCTCAGGTCGGAGGGACGTTTGGACCCAATCACGCTTATTAAAATCGCATCAACGAGCTTGGCACCCCGGGCGCCGCCAGCTCGGCCTGGCCTGGCCCCGCACACCCCTTAGGTCCCCAAGGCAAGCCGTGGCAGCGAGGCGCA